GTCACTCTGAGCCTACATGTCTCTGTGTCTTTGGCTGGCTGGCTGGCTGTCTGTGTGTGTGTGTGTGTGTGTGTGGGGGGAGGGGCTTAACCATTTCACTGCTGTGTGTATGACCTGCATAAAGAAAATACATTTCTCAAGCCTGGTATTTTTTAAATAAGTTTTTATTTTTATTTTTTATAAGTAAAGACATATAACTAGTTTAATTGTAGTGCATTGACAATAGTTTTATATAATTAGTTTATTAATCAGATTAACTTGGTCAATAAACTTGGTCTGAAAATTTGGTCCATAAATCAAACACACTTGCATGTAATAATATGAAACTTGGTACACATATAGATCTCATCGTTTCATATATACTACTTCACACTCTTACTTTTTACCCCAGCCCAACAGGAAGACGGCTATTTAGGGTTGTGTTTAAAACACATGCAATGGAATTTAAAGTATTGCTCCTAGAGCACTGAACCAAATTCGACAAAACTCGATCAGCGTGAAGTCAAGACATTAAGGATGAAAAGGTGCCAAGGAATTTTTTATATCTCGAACGGTTTGGCCGTGGCGAGGAAACGAAATTATGGCGAGAAACATGAAACAGGATGTGTGTTATAACTTCAGCATACATTAACTGATCTTGATGAAACTTCAGCAGTGTTTTCGCTGTAAGAGACCGATCACATGGATGTGACTATTGTGAGTCAAAATTATAGCGCCACCAACTGGCAGCAGGAAGTGTGTCACTTTCAAAATGCTTTGAAACCAATCTCTTATTTTTAACCGATTTGCTTCAAACTTCATCTGTATAATGTAAATACACGGCAGATGTAGACCTGTGAATGAATTTTTGATATCTTTGATACTGTTGCCGTGGCAACGAATCAAACTTTAACATTCTTTTTTGATGCTTTTGGGACTCTTAGCATGCTTGAAATTGCTTGAAACTCAACAGATACATCACATTTATTAGCCAGTAGACATGTGCAACTATGGCAAAAGATTAAAGTAATGTCAAAAAAGTAAACACTAAAAGCCTCATATCTTCTAAAAATGTAATTATACATCATTTGTTTCTAAATTAAATTATACAAATATTATAACTTCCCCAATTTTTCCTTTTTTTCATTTAAGAATTATGTTTACGTTCAAAAACAGCCAGAATTGTTGTAAAATTCATAAAAAAATAATAATCTGAGTCATACGTAGTGCTATACTGCCCTCTTGTGTTCAATATCAGGTAGGCCTATTGTGTATATTCCCACCGGTTAATCAACGTGTGACTCCGCTGGGACTTGGGAGCTTTTAAATCGCTTACTTAAAACCGAAAGTCGAAATACGGATGTCCGCACAAGACATTAATGGTGTGGAGTAGAGCGAGCATTTTAAATAAATTCCTATTAAGTAGGATTGAACTAAACAGAAAGAATGTTCACTCTGTTCTGCTGGTTCCTCGCTGGTGGATCATATGATTACTTTGTCATAATCTATGACAAAAATGCTATTATAAACCATATTAATAATAGATAATACACATTGCTCTTATTTTTGAAAAATACATTCATGAAAAACAAGATAACAAAAATCATAAAAAAAATATAGCCATGGCTGCTATAAATGTTTGAAATGCATAGGACAGATGTTTAATGACGCAGCAACATATAATTGAAAGGCAATTAATAATCTGTCATTACGTCACTGCATTATGATATTACGGCTCCAATACGGTGCAGCACAAAGCACTTATGTGCATCCCGAGCGGAGAATGATGTGCTTGAAGCCACATGAAGTTACAGCGCAGTGAGTCCGTATTGAAAAGTTCAAAGCACAAAGGAAATACATATTTATGAACAGTGTATTATACATTATCTATCTATGCAATAGTTTATTGAGCCTTTTCTTTTAAAGGTTTTAAATTTCAGTTACTGTGTGCGTGAAGAACAATTATAGTGCTCTGACTCTAGTGTTGTGATCTAACCGACAGCGTCCGACACCCGGTAGAAAGTAACACGGTTAAGTTACAGCAATAAAGTCCAGCAAGAAAAAGTTTCTTCATTCGAAAATATAGACCTTTAGACCTTTATCTTAAAGATCCAGTATAATAGGATTAACATTCAATCATCTTGAAGATCGTTTCATCATTGACTGTAACCGAATGTGACGTGCTGTTTGAATGCTGAATGGAGAATGACTGACAGGCGCAGAGAGGGAAAAGTTTGTGTTCTTGAATTTAATGACTTAAATATTAATTTCTATATCACATAATAGCTTCAGAACACTAATAATACAGTACACAAAAACTTTATGGTACTTTAGAAAGTTTTTGTGCCTTTGTGCCTAACATAGAATAGTATATATGCACAATATAGAATTTGAATCAGCCTCGTCAAAGATGGCAGTGTCAGAGCCGATACCGATCCTGAGTATCTAATCGGCGCACTTCTTTTCAACAGTCAAATTGAAATTGAAATTGAAATTGCTTGAAACTCAACAGATACATCACATTTATTAGCCAGTAGACATGTGCAACGTTTCAGAAACGGGCATAGTGCAAGGACTAAATAGCGCCACCTTTTGACAAAAGTGGGGTTGTTAGTTTTATCTACAGTTACAAAAATCGCTATATACATTGTACTCCTCAAGCCGGACAACTTTCTAATACATAGTCATTAGCTCGGACCAAGAGGAAGTCAGATATTTTGGTTTGAATATGGTGAGCCTCTCTCTGAGCCTACATCCCTGTATGGCAAGCCCTTTTAACATTTAAAAGCTAAGTTTGCCTGTCCGGAATTAACATTGTAGATATCAACAACGTCTTTCGGTCTATTCGTAATTACATTTTGGATAGTTTGTATTATCATTTAAGATATCTGTAACATAATTGTGACTAGTCGAAATGACAGAGTATGGCAAGCCGTTTTAACATTTAATCATAAAAGGGCCAAAGCCTTCGGCACCGCCACCCGGGTGCATTTAGGTAACTAAAGGAACCGGGGTTGCGGTGCCACCGGCTTGGGCCCGCCATCGCTGCTCGCAGCTATATTTTCAATTGTATTTTCCCATTGCCATTTTATTTTTTCTGAACTAGGGTGACTATTATTGACTGCAGTCGAACTTCAAACCACAATTTGTGTTTAAAGATCTATTGAAGTAAAATAATGCCAAATGTTTTTGAAACAAACAAAAAAAACTGTTGAATTGCATTACTTGGAAAAAATAGGCATTGCATTAACCCTGCTTCCATTCTAATACATTGTATTTTTATGACTTGCATTTTTATGGGGTGAAATTCAACATGAATATTTCACTTCAAAACATTTCAAACACTTTTCAATATTAAAAATCCAATAATCCCTTTTCAACTTTCATATTTCACTTCCAAAATAGTCCGACTGTTTAAAAAAACAACCTATAATATTCAACAGGCAATTTTCAGTCCATTTTGATGGCTTTGCAAATTCGCTTCCACAAATTCAGTGGTTCAAATTCAACAGTAAATTCAATGTTGACATCCAGGAACTGCAGGAAAAGCAGTAGCTTACCAAGCATAACCTCTTCTATTCTATATATTTATGTATGCCTACATGTACTGAATTAGATTAAACTGGGAAAGGTCATAGCACTTGCATATTGTTGTCCTATTGTTAGTTTAAATGTAAGTCGCTTTGGAAAAAAGCATCTGCTAAATGTAAATGTAAAATTGACATTCGCACATTGGTATACATGTTTCTAACTTCAATGGCAAACTTCAATCTATTTGAATAAATGTGTGCTTCATGCCCGACACCTACATGCACACTTTACAGTTGTTTTTATGACTGTAAGTTGTTCTCTTCAAATAATATTGAAGTTAGAAACGTGTGTACCAATGTCGTATGTAATCTTAGAGACGATCCCTAAATGTGCAACTGTCTAATGTCAAGCCAACTTTATGTCAGTATATCACTGTGAAATGCTCAGCATGAACTTAACGCGTTCAAATTTCAAGCAAGTGTCCTTCTGCTTGCCTGCGAGTTTGGTTCATTTTATCTGAAGTATTGAGAGAAACCCTAGTAGCCTACTGCATGCAGCACATCTCTGCAATATAAAGTTAAGGCAACTAAACAAGCAAGAGAAATATATGTCAACTTCAAATGTAACATTGTATCTGTATATCTGCATTGGGGAATAGCATTATAATCTCAGTCACGATAGAGAAACATGCATGTAGGCTACACAGGAAAAGTAACTGTGAAGACACTGAATTTAACATAAACAGTCTTCATAATAATTACAAATATACTTAAATTGCTGCAAATGGGTATTTATGAATAAGGCCTCGTTTACACTGCAAGGTTCAAGTGACCCAAATCCGATTTTTTTCCTCTCATGTGGCACAGATCGGATATGACCGGTGAACGTGTAAGCAGGAAAAAAACGCATGGATTCCGATTTTCTCAGATCGGATTCAGGCCTCATTCATATGTGGTAATAAATCGGATATGAATCAGATACGTGCGTATGCGTGTGTCATGTAAGCAGACAAATCGGATGGTCCCCAGGAAATGCGAGTCATGCGTCATTAAAAACTGCGCGATTATAGGCGCGAGCCGCGCGATGGAAGAAAGGATACACACAGTGGAGCAATGCGGAGGTTTCATGTCTTTTGAGTGTTTGGGGTGAAGTGTGCAGGCAAAAATGCAGGATTGTTACAGAAATAAATCCGTTTTTGAAGACATTTCACGAGATATGAGGCATCGTTTTAAGTGCTCATGGCCAGAGCCTCTCCTCTTTTTTTCTCCGCCGTACGACACCAATGTTTTGATGACTTGAAATATTGTGGAAAGAAAACACTGGATAATTTTATTCGCATCTGCATGCATTGAATTTCGTGCTGTTTTGCTTAATTTCCCGGTTCAGAACCATCAGAACGTCTGCATTTGGTAGTTTGGTAGTCAAAAAAATGGGATATAGTCAGAAAATCGGATTTGGGCATCAAGACCTGCAGTGTAAATGCAGCCTAAATGGCTTTCTCTAACTGTTGCTCTGGTCTTCAACAACACACGCTTGCACCCCCTGCTGGTGAGGATGGAGATTATGCTGGGTAATCTACTGCTTTTTCAAGTTGGTTCTCACCGCGGAACATGAAATCCATGGGGAGGAGTCGGATCCAGATCCAACTCCTCCCACCTTACATAAACCTAAACCTACCCAACTCCGCCCCCTAATCCCTAAACCCAACCCTAATCCTACCCATCTCCACCCCTTGGATCGTGATCCGACTCCTCCCCGTGGATCTCATGTACTGCATTGAGGTGCTACTGGCTTTTTCTGCAGTTCCAGGATCAACATTGAATTTATTGTCGAATTTGAACCACTAAATTGTGGAAGCGAATTTGCAAAGCGATCAAAATAGACTGAAATTGCCTGTTGAATATTATAGGTTGTATTTTTTAACAGTTTGAATATTTTGGAAGTGAAATATAAAAGGTGAATGTGGATTATTGCATTTTTAATAATGAAAATGTGTTTAAAAATGTTTTGAATTGAAATATTTAACCATGATGAATTTCAGCCCATTAAAATGCAAGCCCTAAAAATACAATGTATTAAAATGCAAGCATGGTTAATGCAATACATTTGCCATTATTTTACTTTCATAAAGATCTGAAATTGAGTGTTAATGTAGGAGCATAATGATTATTATTGACTCAGCTTCCTCATCTGTAAAGCTCTGTGCACAATAAAATATCACATACTCTATAACATTTTCATGGTTTTATGCTTTAATTATGAAAAATACAGAGTAAGATAAAAAAAAAAACAATTGTACTGTAAAAACTGTAGTTTTGTAGTGTTTTGTAGTTGTAGTGCAGTGTTTTGTTAACAGACCAATGCTTGTTGGTAAAATTACCTTGTCAATGAAAAAGCTATCCTGGTTCTCTGTTTTTCTGTAGTGTATGTAAAGTTAGTTGGGTTGCTCTGTTTAGTTACTCCCCAACACTGGACATCATAAATGCCACTATTTGTCATCACTCACTTTTGTCATCTCTCGAGTTTAATGACATTTTTTTGGTTTGATGAAAATTTCTCCAGCTTCCCCAGTGATGATTTGTCTTGTGTGTTTCGACACAGGCGATGTTGCTGGTATAGGTTGGGAGCGTTTGGAAGGCACTCCACCTCCACCCGGTCAGCCTCCTAAAGGGAGGGTTTACTTCACTTACTGTGGTCAACGTCTCGCCCCTTATCTGGAGGACGTGGCTGGAGGGATGTGGCCCGTAGTCCACATTCAGAAGAAGGTTTGCAAACAAATGATAAATAAAAAGCATACCAATGGTGCACTTAAACTTCAACATGATACATAATGCTTTAAGTCCACTTATAGGTTTACTGGATACATTTTTGAGAGGACGTTTCTTGTTATTTGAGCAACGTTTTCTTGTTATTGTGACATTACGCAAATAAATGTAGTTGTGAATAATGTATTATTATTTTCTGTATAACCAGAAATCATAGAGTATTTTAAGTTGATTCCACTGTTGATGGGAAAATGAAAGTGTTCACGGCGTGCCTGCGCCTGTCTGCCATCCAGTGCGTGCTCCAAACTCCGCACACACTCTTGGATATTGGTCAAAATGTTGTTTATTTGTGATAATCTTAGCCCTATTATTATTATTGTCCAACTTGTAGTATGAATGAGATGTGAAGAATTGCTTTGTTCCTTTTTTGGATAAAAGCGTCTTCTACATAAATGTTATAATAGGCTAATGATGATTATTATTATTATTATTATTTGCGGACACGGACCTAAAACACACTCCGTCTTCTAAGTCAGGTGACTGTAAATGCGCAAAATCAGTTTCCATTGCAGTTTTGCGAAAAAATCTTGCGAAAAAATTTTGCGATAAACGGGAGTTTTTGCGAAATTGACGTGTTTCCATTGAGCGTATTTTCATTTCGCAATTTCAATTTGCGCAAATTCACCTTTGGCTAAGCCCCCCCCCCCCCCTTAGTTACTGTTGCTACATCCGTCAAACTTCATCTGCGCTCTGCGTGGCTTATGCTGTAACAGCTTCCTGCTGAAATGTTATCAAACTTTTAAAGCAGCAAATAAAGTGTCCGATAGAAGTAGGCAAAAGGGGCTGCAATATGCGTTCGTTACAGGTGAAACGCAAGAAAAAACAAGGCATCCAAAATAGAGGCAAAAGCATAACGTTACTGGTCACAGTCAAAAAATGAACCGCCGCATTTCCTACTAATCGAGACGGAGGCTGGGACTAACAATATCAGGGAGCAACACTGTTCATGCAAGCTGGGTAGGTCTCTATTCACTTCTATAATCGTTATTACAAAGCAAACAGACTACACGAGTATAACGTTGTATTTATTAGCAGCGTGTGCTAGTGTATCAACAACCGGTATGAGAACCGAAAACATAACCTAACCTCATAACCTAAAACATTATAAAATGGTCTAACTAATGTAACTTCACACTCACAGTGAGGTTAGAAGTAAAAAAAGATGTGCTTGTTGATCTTTGCGGGGTTTAGCTGACTGAGGACATCCACACAGTTTAACGTTAATCCAAAGACGACACTTGGATTTTACTTCGGCTTTTGGGAAGGGAAAAAACGGACACGAGGGACGACGTTTAACCATATTTTTGATAAAATTATGACGGTAATAGCCTGCCGAGACCAAAAATATGAGATGCCTGTGAAATGAGAAAGTATATGAAAGTCTATGGAGGGCTGTGAAAAAGTGTTCGACCTCTGTGGGAGCTCATTCTTGGCTGCGCTGTGATTGGTCAATCTACATTCTATGGCTTAGCCAAAGGTGAATTGAAGGGTAATGGAAACGCAGCTAGTGTCGCCGCCCATGGAGCACTTTCCAGCACCCCTCCCAGAGAATCCAAGAGGGTCGGATATTCTGCACTGCTGTTCGGCCCGTAGATATACACGACAGTGAGAGACCTATGCCCGACCCGATGGCGCAAGGAAGCGGACCCCTCTTGTTCACCGGGGTCAACTCCAACACATGGCGGCTGAGCTGGGGGGGCTATAAGCAAACCCACACCAGCCCGCAAACTCTCACCATGGGCAATTCCTGAGTGGTAGAGGGTCCAACCTCTCTCAAGGAGTGTGGTTCCAGAGGCCCAAGCTGTGTGTGGAGGTGAGCCTGACTTTCCGTAGTCTGTACCTCTCAAACTCCCGCACAAGCTTAGGCTCCTTCCCTAACAGCGAGGTGATTATCCACATCCCTTAAGCCAGTTTCCGTGTCCAGAGATCGGGTCGTCGGGGCCCTCGCCTTCAACTGCCCTCCCCTTACGATCTTTGCTTTGGGTGGTGAGCCCACGGGAGGGCGCCCCCCACGTCACTCGTTCGGGCTGAGTCCAGTCGGGTCCCCTAGGGGAGAGGCCCGGCCACCAGCCGTTCGCATACAAGCCCCAACCCCGGGCCTGGCTCCAGGTTGGGGCCGTGGCTGTGCCATGCCGGACGACGTTTTTTTTTCCATAATGGGGTTCTGAACTAGCCTGGTTCAACCAGACTCTAGTTCATTTCATTTCCACATAGAGTCTGGAACCGCTCCATTGAGAAACGTTTACTTCCTTGTAGGCGAGTTCACTATTAAAGTTCAAATCTATTGGATCTGCCCAAAGTCACTCACGATCTGCCATAGCCAATCGCTAACGGGGTGTCGCGAGTGACGTATGTCAGGCGCCGAAATGGCTGGAAACAACAAGTCCGAATGATCAGAGGATTATGTTTACAATAGGATTTCAGTCAACGAGCGCCGCAGGTTTTGTTAATCTAGGAACAATTATTAATTCGAAATGTACATTTGACACGAAGGACAGTGATATATTCATTCAACGGCGGAAGCTGTGTCTAATCATTACAAATACGCCACTGTGGTCGTTTTCTGATCTGCCGCACATGCCTTAGCAGCTACAGTGAATGATCAGTCTTGTCTCTATCTGCAGATGTGTAATAAACAACAATTTTTCATATTACGTCTTATTGATTCTTAATTACCTTAATTATGGTCTTCAAAGTATGTGTTTGTACATTTTTATGTGGCATTTATTTTTTTTTTTAGTAAAACAAATCAACCATTGCCATCTAAAACTGAAAATCAAATATCTTCAAAGTATGGTTTTTCTCATTTTTATTTATGACAATTATTTTTTTTTAAATCACAACCAATTTGTATGATTTACAACATGTAAAACTGACACACCAACCTCGTGCACGAGTACACAAAGGGGCTCAAAATGTTCTATTCATCACAAGAATCAGTAAATATACAGTTGGGAATATGAGCGACAGACATGACTCCTGAGCGGATCTTCAACCATAGTTTAGCAGCCAGGACTCGGGGCTTCCGAACACCAGGCTAAACCGTCCGTCGGTTTATACAAACTTCCAAACTTTCTGCCTCCTTCACTTGGTCCTCAGTTGTGCAACAAGAGGTGAGACGATAACAATCCGGCTTTAAATTCTGTATATTCGGCAGTTTCTTTTCCAACAACGGACCGAATAGCTTTTCTCACGTCTTTCTCCGCTGCCATTACTGAACACAAACTGACGCGCTTACATCAACGTCATCGTTCTCAGCCACTCCCTCTATTCGCTGAATTGTCCTACAAAAAATTGGTTTCTGGAAACCTAAGGATATGGAGCGATCCCAGACATAGTACTGAAGTAAAATGAAATTGAGCGGAAGTGCGTAGGAGGGCACAGCCAGGCTAGTTCTGAACCGCTCTTAGTCTGACCTGTCACCTGGGACCCGTTTGCCTTGGGAGACCCTACCAGGTCATATAGCCCCGGACAACATTGCTCCTAGGATCATTCGGGTACTCAAACCCCTCCACCACAATAAGTTGACAGTTCAAGGAGGGGACAACAGCATAAAATAAACATTTATTAAGCTAAAAATTATTATAATTGTCATGAATCATAATTATTTTCATCATCATAATTAGTGAAATACATTTTTATGTATGGTTTAAGCATCCAAAAACTTCTTTGAGGAGCCTTATGTAGTTGTTAGTTATAAATGTATTTTTATTGTACACTGGTTTCCTTATTTGCCCTTTTAGCCCTGTTTTATAAATAGTTTCTTTTTTTTTAATAATGATTCGCCATTGTGTAATTTCAGAATACAAAGATCCACGCAAACTTTGGCTGCCGGTTGTTTGCGTACGCAGAGGGACAGGCTCACCGAAACGCTGCCGACCTTTGCATGGACCTCTCAGAGGAGATCAGTGCCAACTTTGAGGCTCTCCCCTTTGCCATGGCCTCCGACAGCGACAATGATGCCGGCACTAGTGTGGCGTCTGACTCTGGTTCTCATGGCCCTCCGTGTCGCATTGCCGCGGTCGTCACAGCACAGCAACGTGAGTGTCGACTTAAACATTAAAGGGTTAGTTCACCCAAAAATGAAAATTAAGTCATTAATTACTCACCCCCATACTGTACCAACCCCGTAAGACCTTCGTTCATCTTCGGAACACAAATAAAGATATTTTTGATTGAATCTGAGGGCTGGATCACTCTTCCATAGACAGCCTGAGGGACTGCCTCTTGACGGCCCAGAAAGTCATTAAAAGAAAAGGTTTAAATATTCCATGTGCCTACAGCGGCTCAATTATAACTTTATCAAGCGACGAGACTACTTTTTGTGCGAAAAAAAAACGTAAATAACGACTTTATTCGACTTTCCATTACTTCCTTATGGGCGCATGCGCGAGAACTGAGACGAGACCGTTCTTCTTCGACTACTTTTTGTTACCGGCTGCTCACCGCTTAGGAGTTTTACCGCCCCCTACCGTATAAGATGATGTACTGATATAGCCGGAGGCGCAAAACGTTCTGTTTACAAGCAGTACGTCATCTTATACGGTAGGGGGCGGTAAAACTCCTAAGCGGTGAGCAGCCGGTAACAAAAAGTAGTCGAAGAAGAACGGTCTCGTCTCAGTTCTCGCGCATGCGCCCATAAGGAAGTAATGGAAAGTCGAATAAAGTCGTTATTTACGTTTTTTTTTCGCACAAAAAGTAGTCTCGTCGCTTGATAAAGTTATAATTGAGCCGCTGTAGGCACATGGAATATTTAAACCTTTTCTTTTAATGACTTTCTGGGCCGTCAAGAGGCAGTCCCTCAGGCTGTCTATGGAAGAGTGATCCAGCCCTCAGATTCAATCAAAAATATCTTTATTTGTGTTCCGAAGATGAACGAAGGTCTTACGGGGTTGGTACAGCATGGGGGTGAGTAATTGATGACTTAATTTTCATTTTTGGGTGAACTAACCCTTTAACTAATATTAGTACTTTCAGCTCGAAAAGTTTTATGTACTGTACATGAGGTTAGATTGCTTTTGAATGTTGTTAAACTTGCTATCTGATTGAATGAGTAACGAATATCAGCTTTATGTGGGTTCAACTTTGGTTCCTGTGGTCTTGATTTTATTTACAGAATACAATAGTGATGCCTCTTGTCACTACAAGGTAGAACTGAGCTATGAGAATCTGGTCGTCTCGGGGCCAAACGCCCACCCGCCACTAATTGCTGATGATGAGAGTGATGATGAAGATGATGAAGACATTCCTAGGGTATGGAGAGCTCATAACTAGGCCCTTAATTTTCTCTGAAGGATTTTGAAAGTTACACCCCTAATATAGTGTAAGCACAATGTCTTTTTCAAAGAAATCTTGTATGTTTTTCTTTCGCCATCTCTTTGTAAAGGAGGATCACTATGCCTTGCTAGTGAAAGCGTGGGAAACCAAAGTTTTTCCAACCATTCGGCGTCGTTTCAGGAATGAAGCAGAGAGGAAGTCTGGTCTGGATCAGATCAAAGGAGCACTTCAGCTCGGTGAATGTCACTTTTATTTATTTACAATGGCTAAAAGAGTCCCTCTCAGCCTATTCATCTAGTGGTCAATGTGTCCAGCTGGGAAGGCATTTCCTTGTGAAAAAGAAGTAACTTTAGCATACTTTTTTAAAATAGTACTTATTACAGAAATCGTATACTTTAAATGAATATACTTCAGTGTGAAATACATTTTATGTTTTTGGACACTTAATAGCATATTAATTGCCATTGAATGAAAATGTTGTTTTGTTTAGAGTGTTAGTTTACCCAAACATTTCAAACCTTTAATACCTTCCTTCATCTTTGAAACACAAATTAAGATATTTTTGATGAAATCTGAGAAAAAACTTGTTGCCTCAGAAGTTTAATCACTGCAGCAGCCAATGAGATTGCTTGCAACCTTGAGCAGGATCAACATAGGCCAATTAGCTTGTGCCATGCGGTGATGATGTGATTGCTTGCAGATGCGTGTAAAGGACCTATCAGCCTGTACCCTCTGGTTGACTGAACTAGATATTTATTTATGCTTTTAAAATTTGAACTACACTGCAATTGTATAATCAATACAATTATGTGCACTTTTTTTCACTAGCTTTTCTCCATGAGTTTAGTGTAAATAATGTGATTATTCCTGGCAGGAATGGTGGACATTGCACGTCAGACTGTTGAGTTCCTGTATGAAGAGAATGGAGGTATTCCTCGTGACCTCTACCTTCCAACCATTGAGGACATCAAAGATGAAGCTAATAAGTTCACCATCGACAAAGTCCGCAAAGGTCTGTGTGAAAGCGCATGTTAACATGAATATTTTCACTAGGATCTATGCACTTACTTTTGATTGGTCTATTGTGGAGATCACACATTGGTTCTATACATACATATTCACATGCATATATACTAGGGGTGTAACGGTACATGTATTCATATTGAACCATTTCGGTTCGAGGCTTCCGGTTCGGTACGCATACAAACCGAACGATTGCTTGGACCATTTTTCCTGCCGGCAAAATTCGTGCTGACGCGGCCAACACAACGTTGCGCAACATCCAAATGGCAAGGGTAATGAAAGCAGAACGAAACTGTGCTACTTGTTATGTGCTTCATGAATCGTTTATCAGTTCGGACCAGCAATATCTGTGCAGCGCGAGCCGATCTCGATCAAGCAACACTGTTACCACACCGCGCTAAGAGATCCGGTAAAGAAAACATTTGAATTTGCCACTGAGGTAATAACATCGCTGCGAGATCTAGTGAGATGCATTCACATTTCTCCGTTATTAACCGTAGATCTCTATTAGATCAAACAGCGCTGACGTGGAAACCAGGAGAAACATTGTGCCATGAATGAACTAGTAATACTTTACGTCCACAGACCAGCAACATTCACCATGGATTTAATATAGTAACACTCAGTGGTGGAATGTAACAAAGTACAAATACTTAGTTACTTTACTTAAGTACATTTTTCACGTATGTTTACTTTACTTAAGTACAATAAATAGTGCATACTTTTTACTTTTACTTCGTTACATTTTGCAGCAATTATTATACTTTCTACTCCACTACATTTCTACAACTTCTGTTACATTTTCGTTACATTTTCTGATCAGTTTCTCCCCTGCCAAAACGTAATCTGACCGTCCGTTCATTGCACGTTTGTCTCACCAGTGACGTTTGGTTGCCATAGATACATCAACCCGGTTACACTAAATGCGTCTCACACGCAGTGTGTTTGTCGTGCAACTCATACGCGAAAATTTGTTTTTACGTGCATAGGAAACGCACCGTGTGTAATATACGTTTGGTTTGGTTAGGATTATGGCAAGCCAAGAGGTTCAGAATTACACCATAAGTTAATCTTGTTTACTGCCAAACATATAGTAAGTTATTAACATATAGTAAGGATAAGCATGATGTATATTGTCTAATTGCAAGCTTGTTTCAGAAATGGTGACATTTTTTTCCATCATTATTGAACATCATTATAGGAGTAGGCTATTACTGTAGGTTGAATGAGTTAGAATTAAATGTTTTATTAATCATTAGAAAATAGACATTAAGATAATAAATTGTTATGCAAGTACTTTTACTTTTAATACTTAAAGTACATTTAAAATAAAGTACTTTTTACTTAAGTATGGTTGTCAATGTGTTACTTCTACTTTTACTAAAGTAAATATTTATCTGGGTATTTGTACTTTTACTTAAGTACTGAGATTCAGTACTTCCTCCACCACTGGTAACACTAACTGGAACCAGTTTGGCTTGAATGGTGAAATGCTTTCAAGTACTTCACACATCTTTTTCCAGCACTTCAAAATTCAAATATTATATAAATAAATATATATTTAAACGTTATTTTTAATGTGATGACCAAAACATTATTTGTTCATCCTTCAAAGATGACCCCCATTTATAAACCTGAAAGTTTCAAGATCTAGGAAAACTCACACTTATTTAAAAATATTTTTTCTTTAAACAAATAGGAAATTTCTCTGGCATTTCTTTCTTTTTGCTGTATCGAAAACGTACCGAACCGTGACTTTAAAACCGAGGTACGTACCGAACCGTGATTTTTGTGTACCGTTACACCCCTAATATGTACTGAATTTTATAATTGCACCAGTCAGAATTGCATTGATGAGACTGCACCGATAAGTGCTATTTTAATATTACAATAACAGGTTAAACATGTAACCATTTTCCCCACAGGTTTAACAGTGGGCATCCGCTGCCCAGAGGGAAACAACACCTGTAGCAGCACAGGTGGAACAGCCTTACCAAAGTTTGCCATCCGGGGCATGTTGAAGACTTTTGGCTTGCATGGTGTCGTGCTCGATGTAGACTCTGTGAGTATCCACAGTAGTCAAATTTTGACTTTGAAATCACTCAAAAAAGATTGAAAAAAGCAAAAAAAAAGGCCACATTTAATGTGGGGAAAATATATTTTATTCTGCATAAAGAAAATTAAGCCTTATTTAAATCATTTTTGACTCTGTGCACCTTGATGCATACTTTATAATTATTACTTTGCCCGTTTTGACTGATGACTTTGACGTGAGCATAAAAGATAATGAAATCAGCATACAAGATAATACTCTTATGATTGAGGGATAAAAATGTGAAATACTTCACATTTTATAAATATAAATGTAAATATTTGTCCATGATTGCATTATTTTGTTCGTAAAATTAAAATAGCCCATACATATTTTTGACAGGCTATGTGATATTCATTCTTATATACACACTAGCATTTGAACCTCTTCTAAATGCAACAAATCTGAAACTTCGCTGAAATGTCTTCATTTGTGTGTATTCAGGCCAATGAACTGGTCCAGGTGGAGACATATCTCCGTAGTGAGGGTGTGTTAGTCCGGTACTGGTACCCCATTGAGATGCTTGAGAGGCCGCCAGCAGGGTCCCGCAGGGCTGCAGCAAATGGCCTGGTGTCTCTGGACAGCAGCAACATCCAAATTCATCGGTAATGCATTTTTTTTTTTTTCAAGATGGTTTTACTATTGTAGATTTAAAAAATATTGGATTTTAATGATAGAGTTCACCTGTTAAAGGCAATGCTAAAGCTTAATGTTCAGTGTGCTTGTGTGTTTCAGGGAGCTGCTGCGTTGTGAAAGTTCTCTCGCCCGTCTGTACTGCCGCATGGCATTGCTCAACATCTTTGCTCCCAAGAGCCCTCACACATTCACACGTCTCTTCCACATTCCCGCTGTACGAGACATCACACTTGAGCACCTGCAGCTCTTGTCTAATCAGCTGCTGGCTCCACCTTTGCCAGGTGATGTCATACAAATATTTTGAGGAACACAGGTTTTTGATTTGAACTTGTATAAGTAACTACTTAGTGTCGGTTGTAACGGATTACAAGTAATGTGCATTATGTAATCAGATTACTTTTTTATTTATTGAGTACAGTAATGCATTATTTTAAAGGATTAGTTCACCCAAAAATGAAAATGAATTAATTCAAACAAATTAAGATTTTTTTTTTATGAAATCATTTAATAATATTAATAAATACAAGTTTTATTTTTAATAATGTATTCTTAAATATTGAAATTAACATTATTTACAATTAATTGTTCATTGTTAGCTCATGTTAATTAATGCAACCTTATTGTAAAGTGTTACGAAAAAAAAAATCATGAAACTCTTGTGTATTTGTTCATTTCCCTTTGTCTTCTGTAGATGGCAGAATCAGTTCTAACTCTATTCTGCTGGCCCAGTCTGTTCTCCACGAGCTCCAGGGCAAGAGCTGTTCTTCGACTGAGCTCTTCTATCAGGGAAACGCACAGACCATCAGTGAATGGCTGACGGTGGCCATCAGCAGAGCTCTGCACCAGGGCGAAGACAGCCTTCTCGAACTCACTAAACAGATCTGCTGTTTCCTTCAGGTACTAGTGCCTCAACTTATTTGTGCCCATTATATCAATATAACAGTGGATTGTTTTGAAAACCATGATTTGTATACGTAGGCAGAAAGTAGAGATAAATAAGAGAACAAAATTCTGCAACAAAAATAGAACTTTTACTTTTCTCAAGGGAAAGTGATTATTTTACTCTTAATATTATTTTCTTTTTTGTGATCATAAGACATCTATTATTTAGAACATTAATGAATGCATTTTGAATCAGGCAGTTAATTACTTTATTCACTGCAAATCCACCATTATGATCTGTGATATTTAAATATGTCCAATATTCAAATTAATATTAGTTATTGACCATTTTTAAAATATAATGATTTAAAATGTACTTTAATATAAGATAATGACACTAGCTTTTCAACATCGACACTGTTATTGAACCAGGGTTATTATAGTTAAAAATAATTATTATAGTTAAAAATGTATTATAGTTAAAAATGGTTCTATAGTTTATTATAGTTTGTTACGTGAAATAAAAGAATCGTTAACTGAACCAAAATAAACATTTTTACCTTGATGTACTAAAATAACTCGCACCAAAACTGAAATAAAAAATAACAAAAAATGTATAGACGTATAAACAATTTTATTTCATAATTTATTAATTTTACAACGTTTGGTTATTTTCCTGTTTATTACTGTGTATTTACTTTGAAACGATAAAGCACTATAGGAATAAATGCACTTTTTGTGATGGTTACACTTTATTTTACAGTGTTCTTATTTTACACAAGTACTTACTGTAGAAATAACACTAATTTAAGCATAATTACATGCTACTAACCCTAAACAAAACCCTAATCCTACCCTAACCCCATAGTAAGTACATGTTGTTAATTAATTTCACTCAGCACTTAAATGTATATAATTA